CTGAGGCTGAACCCCAGTCATTTAACCAAGGCCCCTCAGGGGTTCACACAAGAGAAAAGGCTTGAATCTGGACCATCCACACTGGAAGCTCAGTGCCTTCACTGAAATACCAGATTAAATATCACTTCGTGCAAACCACTGAAACTAGCCCAATGAGCTCCAATTAATGTTATTCCTTAAAGAGTTTAGACCAGTGTTTCTCAATCTTGGCAACTTTAAGACATGTGGACTTCAACTCCCAGAATTCCCCAGCCAGCATTACTCCAACCAGGTGGCCAAGGTTGAGAAACACTGGTTTAGACAAATAAAATGGAAAGTTAGTAACATGTCCTTTGCATTTTCACATCTCTGGATTCAGAAGGACCTGGGGAAGTTAAATGTCAAGATGGCACCGAGACCTTGCCATCAAAGTCCCATCCTCTTTCTATATGTGTGCATGCCCCTGGTTCTAGGTCAAAAGCTCAGGCCACTTCTCTAAGAGGTTGTTCATTCAGCCCTGCAGGGGTTTAGTTCCCAGAGAATTTCATGCCACCTGTTGAACCACACAGCCCCCGGGAGATTCCAGAACGACTTACGGGAGGATCGCAACAACTGTAGCGCCAGTGGGGAGGCCACTGTTCGAACCAGAGAGACTCTGGCAGAGTTGATGGACAGCTGATTTGGCCATGCCGTATCCAACCATTCCTAGAAAAAGACAAGGCAGAGTCACTCTTGTGCCACAGAAGATTCTGAAGATCCCCTTCGATGAGACCGTGCAACGAGTTGGATTCATGGCAAAGCCATGCTTTGTAATTACAGGGATGCAAATGTCACCGTCCTGCAACTCCTTAGTGTGTTTTTCCTGAGTTCATGTGTCAGCTGCCCAATCCCAGAAAACAACACAGATGCCTGAAGGAATGGCAGACAGGCGCCACCTTGGCACCCCCCAGTTCCAAAGCACTGTTCTGCATTCGAAATTGAAGTTGTGCAACGCCCCAAAACATATTTCTTACCCAGTCAACCCAACTGTGGATTCTTCTGCTTTCTACAGAAACACCCTTGATGGCAACAATGTCTTTCTCTGTCATTTCATGGCTAAGAATAAAGTTTGACTTTCCACTGAAGCTTGTTATGAAATGCGCCTTACTGGATATAATGCACTACCTTGGCAGCAGGGCACGTCAGATGGCCTCTTGAAGCCCCTCTGTCCTTGCACCAGTGGGGGGACATAAGAGCAGGCTCAAGAAATGACTTATATGAGGCATGATCTGGACGTGAAATGCCCTTTTCTAAGCACCATCCTGGATTCAGCTGGCTAGGACCCTCCAGGTATTCAGCTCTTGAAAACCACGCAGATCATGGCTTTAGCTTCTCTGCTATTTATGGATGTTCCTCTAATCAAGCTGTCCCAAATCATGCACAAGGCATCTGGTGTCTTCTATTTAACTGGCTTTGAAAAATTATCTGTAACGCTTCTCAGAAGGGGTCACCGGAAAACCTTATCAAAGCAGCTGTCTGAATGGCAAGCAGAAGGTTAAAAAAAGATATTTTTGAGACGGTACAGAAAGACACGCTATTTTGGAATAGCAAAGCAAGGGAATATGTTTGAGGGATCCAAGGCAAGATGAGAAATTTCTCTGCAGTTTCATGAGAACTTTTACGACAGCATGTATTTGCTAATTACTAATATATAAAAATTACAGAGGCTTTATAAGCTATCTCCTTCACTGGGTTGGAACTAAGGTAAGAACAATATGGACTTTAGAGATGAGCCAATCCAATTAATATTATAGGAAAAACGATATTATTTACCAATGAACCCACCAATTTCATTGCTGAGAAGTAGCAGATGAACTGTACTATACAGAAAGGTAAAGATGGTTGCAAATTGTTAATTTTGAACAGAGCAGCTGCTTTAACTACTTATTTTAATATATTTATAGCCTATTTTACAGACTGTTTCATGTTGTTTTTAGTGGGTCTTGTAACCCACTAAAAACCAATATTTAGCATTAAATACCAATGCTTCAAATTGGTATTTATTGTAAAATTGATTATAAAACGAATAGGTGAATTTATTAAACTGCCCCGCATTTATGAATTTAGATTGAACTGGGATCCTTCCTTCCTTCCTCCCTCCCTCCACCCTTCCCTTCCCTTCCCTCCTTCTTTTTTGTTTATTACACCAACAAAACAGGTTTAGCTATTCTGCTACTCAACCTGGATACCTCTTCTTAAATGAAGGGCAAAACATACATTGTAACCAAAAAGGGCATCTAAATTCAATTAGAGTCAAGCATGCATTATTTGACTGTGGGTATGCCTATGATGATGTCCTACTATGTATTTCAGACATTGCTTCCTTAATGGAAATGGGGAACTCTAACCCTTCACCCTTTCTTTGAGCTGGGGGTCTATGTACTGACCTGAGACTAGAAACTCTCTCTTCTAATTCAGCAAAAGGAGCTGAAAGCTCCCAGATTTCCAGCAGTCAAAGACTGAGCTTCTTTTCATTAACAATGTTTAAAATCAAGCTTATTAATTAACACTTATTTGGGTTACAGGAATCACCATTTCAATATGGATTCCTATAGCAGAATAGGAATTTTAATTTTTAACAGAAAGCACAGCATTTCTGTAGGCTTAACCCAGACATGAAACTATGAATAGGGCCAGGTCTATTTCGTAATGATTAAGTCAGAGGGTTGAAGGTCATTTGTCTTTGAAGCAAGAAAATACTAAAGGTCTAATCCAAAGCAAACAAGCAAAATCAGCATTATTATTTAAGGAATGAATTATAAGCTTACATCCAAGGTAAAAATGTCTTAGCCTTTTCAGCAGCTTACTTCCAATTAAGGCACTTTACATACAAGCTAAAAGCCCTTCATAAACATTCTTCATTCAAGTATTTTCTTAACCTATACACTCAACCCTAAAAGGGTTTTAAAACTGTCACTGGATGACAGAATTTGTACAACTGAAATGTTCAATCCCCCAATCTGAATATGAAAGGCCATGGAAAAGCATGCACACCACATTATCATTTACATTTACCTGGGGTTCCAGCTAATGCGGCTTTTGCACCTGTTAGAGTCAACAGGCCTCCTTCCTTTAGATATTTGGTAGCCAAGTGACTAGAGATTACTGATGTCCAAACACTTTGCTTCCACATCAGGTCACTGTTTTTGTATAAAGCTGATGGACAAGAAGGACACGGAACACATTAGACATCACGAGACAAATCCACCTTCTGCTGATGTCATCACCATCTCTTCTCTCTTAGCCAGATGTGGTCTTGTTCTGCAGAAGATACCTGAGAACAACTCCCTAACTTAGCTGCCATGCATGAAGGAATTTAACTCCAGCCTGCAGTCAGATTCTACAGGGGAACGCTACCTGTGGGTTTAACAATGGGATGGACATGCACTGAAAATAATTGGTGGCATTCAGACACCCATAGCATTGAAAGCAAGCCTCAGGAAATCTAGATCACTATCCCAATTTGAAAATAAATTGCCAAGAGCAGTCTAATTGTGCTCAATTCTCAACACTTCTTTTTAATCTGTTATAAATCTAAAGAGACACTGATAATTCAATCCTCTGTTCCAAGTTCAAACACCCTCTATTATCCATCCCGCTTCCAGACACGGACAGGGGTGAAAAACAGAAAAAAATTTGTTTAATCAAACTTCCTACTTTGCTAGCTCAGTTTTCAATAACATCCAAATTGTGGCTTAAATCTTGCAAACTAGGACTGCAGATTAAAGGAGGCAATTTTGTTTTGTAGGAAGCCCGTAAACAATCCCAGGTTTGCAGTTCAGCCATTTCACAAAAGTTGCATTTGAACAAACCAAACCGTTTCTACTGACACCAGGTGTGTAAAGGGAGGAATCACACAAACCTATTTCTGCCTCCCATGCACACAAAAATTTGTTTGTTAAACATTATGCCTATCCAGGACAAGGGTTTGGAATATAGAGCATATCCCAAATACTTTCTAGTGGTTATCTTTGCAGCCATAGACGGTTTCAGAGCAGACTCACCTGTGCAACACAGACCCACTGAAATGCATTTAAACTCAGAAGTCTGCTCTGAAGTCTTCTACTGTTTCCCAACAGGCTTTTTTTTTCAACGCCAGCCAGTGCTGGACACCGCTGGGAGATGGAAAGATGTTGCGACACAGTTGCTATTGCATAAATGGAATTTCAGTGCTGGGGCCATTAGGAAAATATTAAATAGGGGAGCTATAGCATTCTTCTGGGAGCAGCTCCATCTCAGATCAGATTTCGTAAACCCAGAATGAGGCCGTTCTGACCGACTGCAGGGAAGAGAAAGCTGAGAGCGTTGTGTGAACCGCCATGCTTACATTTTGCCTTGGCACTGCCTCCAGCCCATCCACCGGCCACACACAGGATAGCGTCCACCTTGTCTTTGCCCAGGACCTTTCCAACATCTTCCGTCACCTTTCGAAAGGCAGAGCCGGGGTAGCAAAGTTACATAACAAGCACCAACTTTGAGCAGGATTTGTAAATGTCCCAACCAGCTCTCACCGAAGTGGTAAACAGATAAATAAATATTTCTGCACATGGAGAGCAGGCTATCATCATTACGAGTCTGGCTTTGCTGATATTAAGAAACCCTTAGGCAAATCCTAACCCAGTGTTTCTCAACCTTGGAGATTTGAAGATGTATGGACTTCAACTCCTAGAATTCCCCAGCCAGCCCCCCCCGCTTGGGGGATTTTGGGGGTTTAAGGCCACAACATTTTCAAATCCCAAGGGGGGAAAAACCTTG